TCACAAGTTTACAATTACTAGATTATACTGCTTCAAAGAGAAAGCTAAGTTTGAGCTCTCTGGTAAACGTTGCTAGTATATGCAGAATGAAGATTTTTAAATACTTGAGTATGATAAGACTTTGAGATATTTGTATCATAATCTAAAAACCATTCCAGTGCAGCATTCTTGATAGTTAAAACCTAATTTTAGAGCTAGATGGATTAATCTCCTACCTGTCACTTTCTCTTCAAGATCTAGACTTCACTGTTACACTGTATTGCTACCTGTTCAGCAAGTACCTGGATGCCTTTGGCTAAGCAACTGTACTCTTAGTTTTATATTTAGCTTTCAAGGTCTAGGCAAGATGGAAGGAAGCAGATTTTTCTTATGCAAGCTCTGATTAGTACAACTAAATGAGACTTCAGTCCTCTGTTGCTGTCAGGCTACCTTTATTAAAAAAATCCTCCCTTCCAGCAATTAAGTATCTACTCTACAATAAGAATTACATTGTCTCTTGAAATTACACTGTTTAATAGTATTTAAACTGTCATAGTTGCTGAAAACATGCTTTTCAACAGATCCTCTACCACTGTAAGACGTATTGGCTGCAATTGTCTTTTCTTTCTTTTGGAGGCTGAACAAGGAGACAAAAGGATGGCTTCATTAATATTTATAGAATTGTGGTCATTATATCAAAGAGATTTAGGCAGAAAAGCTAAACATATTTCAGGTCTTCATATTCAGTTCTGTGCTACTGGTAACCCTGTGCTGATTAGGATTAGTTTCAATTTTTATAGAAGCCACTTTACAAAAAGCTTTTGTAATATGGGCGCATCACAATCACAAAAAAAGCCTTCCAAAAAAGGAAACTGAAAGCAGATGTGAGAAAGCATCCTTCCTCTATCAGAAATCTCATTTCCTGTATCCTCAAGTTGGATGGGGAATAAAGTAATGGTTTTCTATCTTGTATCAATAGCCTAATGGTTCCAAGGATAGCATTACTTGTCCTGAATATATGGAGTGTGAGCAGTCTTCCAGTAAATGACATTATCAGACTATCTAGCAGCAGGTAATAGCAACTACAAGAGTTTGTGGCAGACTGAAATGCTTCTAAGCATAGGAATGACTTACCCGTTAGCTATTAGAACAGTTTTGCAATTGTTTAGGTGAAGAATAGTGGAAATAAAAGCATTTGACTTTGTTTCTCACTGAACAAATTCTCTGTATTTGCAGACTGTCACAATTGGATATTGATGGCCATCTTGCCAGGTGCTTGTCTGAAAGTGCAGATGATGTAATGTGGTAAATCCTGAAGAATGAAGAGCAAAGGAACAAGGCCAAGGATGAACCTTTCTCAAAGGAAAAGGAAAAATGTGTCAAGGAAGTACATCCTCGTCTCAGACTTGCTTAAAGATCACAAACCAGTAACTCAATAGAAGGTCAAGTGCTACCTGCCTGTTTGGGGTCTTTTTATTTTAAGTCCTCTCAAATGCATGTAAAGTAGTTCTAGTTCTGAAAATGGTGCTATAGGATATCCCAGAGACCCCTGGGGAAATCCATCTTGGTACTTCTGGAATCTGGGTACTTCTGAAAAAAAAAATGTACTATTGTAAATCCCTGAAGAACCTGTTTTGTCTGATGCACCATAGTTCTGAATTTCTAAGTGTAGAAGAAAGCAGCTGAACAAAAGATAACTGTTACTTAATCTAAAGCAAAAGTTTACTGACCTCTTTTTTTCCTAAACAGGTAATCTGTGAAGATAAGCTTAATTAAAAAGTCATTCAAGCTTAGTACTTTTCATTATTTTAATATCTAAGAACTTCTATGACTGTACAGTTGAGTCTGTGAGTATATGTTAAAAGAAAACACAACCCAGACCAAATAAAGGGTGTGAGGTTTTTTTATCTTTCTGAAGGAACACAGCTAAATTCATAACCTTACTTTGCGTAGGTTTCTATGTTGGTATCTACTTGATTAATATGACTAGTCTAAACCAATTAGGCTCCCGAACGAACACTTCTCCTGCCCGTTTCACAATACTGAAATGCAAAGCAAAATTTAATATAGTCAGTCAGCCAAACCAGCTTCTTTTTCAATCAGTTCCACCCCCCACCCCCCTTAGAAACCATCAATGTTTGAGAATAAAGAACACCTGAGAGTTTGTTTTGGCTAGAAGGTATTCAGAAGACTCATCTACTGTTTTGGTAACTTCTTAATAGTAGCAGGTAAATATTTTGTAAGCTTGAGAAAATCAGCCTTTTCCGTGAGTGACAATAAATGACATTTAGTGGTAGTTTAGTAACAACAAATGGAAGGGATGAAATAAACTGGAGTAGGTTGTTCATTTCTCCCAAGTACAGTTAATTGTTTACTGAACAGGGTATCTTATTCATGCAGTACACTGTGTCTCCAGTCACAGCCTTACAATTCAAATTCATTTCTTGTCAAAGGGCCATATGCAAGAGTAGTACAATTGTGCCTGTTTCAGCTACTTTGATCACAACTGCCTTCACGTACAGTGAAGAAGAGCGCAATTCAGATTAACAAACTTCAGTAGCTGAATGGTTTTCCATCCTGACAAACCTGTGCCCTGGACCTCAAAAACATACACAGTTCAGGTGCAATCCAAAGATACAGAATTAACACAGAATACAGTATCAAAATACAGGAAGAATCCTATAGATTTAATTTACAATGGGGTCTCTTTAAAAAGTGCAAGTTGGACATGGCTCAGTTTACTGATAAATAATAACAGTCTATTAACTTTTTCATTAAAGTCTTTAATAGATGTGCAAGAATATAAATGATCTTAGCTGTTATGGATTAGTATACCATCTTCTGCACAATTAAAACTGGTCAGCAAAGATCCCAACTAATTAATTATACAAAACTACAAGAACATATTTACTGTTTTACAATCATTAAATTAGCTAGAATTTTCATTTACTATTTCAAATAAGACAACTATATATCATTACCAGATCCATTTGTAATATATTAGGATTTTTTTTCCAAACCACACATTTAATTACATCCTTCATTTTCTTTTATTTATAAAACAAGTACTTTATATAAAAAATTTCCCCTTCATCATGAACAGAACATTATTCAAACACTTGCACACGAGCAACCAAACTTGTATCCAGCAAACTATTTGGCAACACAGCAACATTGTAAATGCCTGTAAATTTTTAAAATAAAGTCAAGTAGTCTTTACAATGTTTGTTTAGCAAATGTGTCTTTCTGTTCTTCCTTCCCTCCCTCCCAAAATGTTCTGAAACCTAGAAAAAAGGTTAAAAAAAACCCAACCCACATTTCTAATATTTCCATTTTAAAGTCCTATGCCCTGGCATGTCAAAGGACAGCTTAATCTGTCATACTTCCATTCATGAGCTGCCTGCAGTCACTCTGATAACTATCGATTAGTTTTATTACCAGGGGAGTTGAAAACACTGAAAGAAAAATTATTCAGGGTAAATAAAGTAATTGCCAGGGAGAAGGGAAGAAAGGAATAATTTAAAAATGTCAGATTACATTTAAAAGGTAAATGTTTCTTTTAGTAAAGTATCTAAAGTCCAGGCATTTGAGGCAAGTATTTCTTACTGGTTAAATTACTTAGTGCTGATTAAAACATATTTTGCTTAATATGAAAAGCTACAGTCCAACAGAGAGAAACCCACAACTTAAATCTGAATGCGATTAATATAACTAAATAACCACAGGTCTGCATAAGTGTGGCTAATGAAGGGATACAAAATGCACATTATTAATCAATGATGAATTGAAAATTTTAAACAATGTTTTGGCAGTCTTGTCCTAGCACCTCATGAGTTGGATGTGAATCCGAAAGATGTCATGTTCAGCACCTAATGCAATGCTGTACCCTGAGAAAACCATATGTTAATGTAAAGAAAGTGAAAGTGTTGCAATATATCCTGCATTTAACACCAAATTAGGTGAGATGTCATGGCACAGGGTTTCTCTTTTTTTTTTTTTTAATTTTTCCTTCCCCCCTATCTCTACAACCCACAAAATGTAGTTGAACCAAAATCTAGCAAAAAGAAATACTGCCTCTGCTGTTGTTACTTACAGAGGCAGGTAAAACTTCACAGCATCTGAAGTTTCAGATAGCAATGAACACTAATCCTAAAATGCAGCAACATGAGCTTTTCTAAGCTGATAAATTGTTAACCTTTTTTTGATGTAAATATACCCTTTGCCTGCCCTCCCACTCCCCCCAGTTTCCACAAGAAGGGATTTGATAGTTATCTTTTGCTTTATCCAATTTCTTAGGTATTAATTTTTCTTCCATTGAAAAAATTTACTACTTTGATGCAAATCATTTTACCAAAACATCCCATTCTCTTGTGTAGAATGATTAGTTATTAATATACACTGAGTAATTGAAAGCAGTTTATCGTAAGTAGGAGGTGTGCTTTATCAGGAAAGTATATTTTATATTATGGTTATTCTAGATTTACTATTTAAACTTTAAGGCTATGCTTTATTATGCTTTTGCTCTATTTCTGAATATTTGTATTGTTGATAAAAATACTTTTCAAAAGTCTAATATACAACACAACATCATTGTAGGTGTAGGCACTGCTTTAAGTATTTTCAGAAATCCTTTCTGTGCAAATTTAGTTTTCCTCAATCTATAAATTTTGGTAAATTTAGAGTTTAAGACAACAGATTTTGAAATTGATCCTCCAAATTCTAATTTGGAATTAATATTGCTGAGTCACTCTGCATTTCAAATTCTATAAAGATGCAAATGAACATTAGGCTGCAGCTGTGAACTATGTTTCGTATGTAAATGGTTACTTAATATTAACAAGCAGAACTTACCAGGTTTAAGAACGTTCCAAATATGTAATAATTCTTCAATGCAGTTTATCCATTTAGGCACTTAAATCTTGTACCCAAATTTATGTTTTGATTGCTAATAAAACACAACTCCTTTTAAATATATCTGAGACGTTTAGACAGGTACCACTTGTGAAAAAAGGCATCAAAAATAAGCTTCAACACCACTGTAATATATTTTATTCTTCAGGATGTTACACCGTAATATTCTTCAATTGGTAGCTCATTGCATCAAAAGTTTGTAGAAAGTGTGTGGATCTCAAAAGTTTTTCAGAATCTCCTTTTCCAGGGATGCAATGAACGCTTCAATCCTTCATGAAACAGGCACAAATTGCAAAGTCCTTCATTAATGAAGCCAGTTGTGTCAGCGCCCAGAACTTAAGAATCACTAAGTGGCAGAAGACACCCACTAAAATCATTATCTTCTTTGATTTTCAGCAGCAATTTTTTTTTTTTTTTTAAATCATTGGTCTCCATCCAAAATCTTACAGTTCCCCAGCCTCGCATGCATATACTGTAGTTAAGGATAAATTTAAAGGTCATTCACATTGTCCACAACGAAGATGTCATTCCTTCATACTGTTTCTTCTGTTGACAGCAACAATGGGTTAATATATTCAAATCCTTCAAATTCTGACTGATCTATTCGCTTTATTATATCTCTGAAAAACAAATAAGAGCATTGATTTAGTTTTATCAATTGCAAATACTATTTTTGTTGCCATACTTTTTTTCAAATAACAACAAAATACCTTACAGCAATGTATGTATATGAAGTTGTACAGAAGCAATAAACTGAAAAAATAAAGTCTCTGAACATACAAATACCTAACACTAATATTTTATGCCACTACCTAAAGCAATGTAACTGGAAATTTTGAAACATCTGATAAAAAGTTTCTCCTGCCCTCCCAGTTAGGTGGCATGCATACCTATAGGGCCCAAAAAGAAGCATGTAATAACGTGACTGTTGTTTTACAATACCAGTTTACAAATAAAAAACATATTTTGCTGTCAGCAAGAGCTGCTAGTATTATATTTAAGATAAATACTACAGAAGAGTCAAGCACAAAGCTAATACTTTTTAAAAAAATACATATTGTATGCACAGAAAATCCAAGGAAAGACTTATACATTGATGTATATGAAAGAGAGAGAATTTCTTTTAAGATGTGATGTTCATAAAACTTCCCGCTATAGGTGCGCATACACTTGGTATTTGTCATTTTTTCGTCAGGTAGAACCTGTGAAGCACAAATGTGCCTTGCAATTCTTTGGTATCATACAAACAGTAACTGAAGCACTTCACACTTTGGTTTCCATTCAGCTATTCACTTCATATATGCTGGACTCTTGAGAAAGAGAGAATCAGTTGTGAGCTATGGATCTATGATATATAGGTAACATTTTTATAAAATTCAAGCTTGAATGCCTAGGTACACAAATATCCACAATGAAATCTCCAAATATATAATTACTTGAGGATTAACACCTGCTACCCAAGAATGCAGTAAGAGAGAGACCCTGTAACAGTGAATTTATTGCCACTGGAGTAGACTCAATGGATTGCTAGTTACAGTGTTCATTTTTACCATCACAAATTTAATCAACCTTAACATTTACTTGTACAAAGAAAAAGTCCCTGACCAACTAGCTAATCCTGGGGTTGACCTAGGATTAGCAGGCACTTTATGAAAGAGGCTTTGAAACAGTATTGTCTTTCTTTCAGAGCAGTTTAGCTTTGTTAGGTAGCGACAAAGAAGAGGGAAAAACTAATAGAAGCCCATAGGCTGGAATGTGAAAATCTTGCGCCTTTAATTATGAAAGCCTTTGGATAGCATGCAACAGCCTCTGCTTGCCAATGTGGCATCCCACTACATGCAGTACTTCAGACAGTATCTAAGAAAGTAGAAATCATAAATCCATTATTAAAATCGCATTTCCAAAAGCAATACTTTAGAATCAGCTTTATTAAACATCTGATTAGACCCAAATATTCATTCTAGAACACCAACAATCAGTGGCTCTACAGACTTCAGTTAGAAATTGTAAAGAATGCAAAGTACTAGAAATTTAAGAGATAGGTTTTCTTCAAACAGGAAGCCAGGGAACAGGACAAAAGGCTGAATACATTTGGAAAATAATGCATTACAGTCTTCAGAGGACATCAAGTCAGATAAAGAAAAACAAACATACATATGAAATATACTGGGAAAATTTAAGTGTATAATATGCAAGCAAATCTTTGCTGCTCTCTCACAGCAAAGCTCACCTAAAAATCCTACCTGCACAGATTTCAGGATTCTGAGTCTTAGATTTTTAATAAACCCCAAATCTCTTTTGATTCATTTTACTTTTGTATCAAAACGCTAAATAAGCAGCAGAAAGTTTCATTGTATTTTTGATAGAATAGCACAAAAATTTCAACAGAAAACATGCACCACTATGCTCCTTAATAAGAAACAGTATTTTGAAGTTCTTTAAAAGGTGTATCCTAAGAGCCATTTGGCATTAGTGTCACACACTCAAGCTCTGAAAGAAAAATATACCTTGGAAAAAAAAAACCCCAATGGAACCCCGCCCAAACTGTTGCATTCCTCAGCAATTAGATAAGACAATTCTCACACCGATATCATTTGGCCCACCCTCCCCCCTTAGCTCAGATAATACATTTATCATCAGACATATGCTAAATGCTTCACAGACAAATTAAGTCAACAAGACCATATTTTTCTCTCCAACATTTTCCTCCATTGCATAGAGTTTCCTCTTGTTTTTCCAAAGGAAGTTCAAGCTCCAATTTTAAATTTTCATACTTCAGTAAACCCTCAAAACTGTGTACAATTGTTCTCTTAAAGGGTTTGGGCAAGCTGTCTCCCATCTAACTACCAAAACTATAGCCTGTCATCTTATATGCCACCCTCTATCTGAAGGAACTTCTTCCTTCATGTACAGCAATCACTCCTCAGCCTTCAAATTTGTTTACTAAAGTGTACTTTTTCTTCCTGCAAAATTTTTCCATTTAAATAGTAGTTTTCTGTAAGATTTTCCTGTTATATCAAGCTTACTTTGAGACCCAAGGAGCTGTGCCTCAATTGTTTCTCCTGAGTACAGAAATGCAAACTGCCTGGGTTAGGAATCAAATTTCCGTCTCTTCTTTCAGTGCCAAGCACACGCTTGACAGCAAATCAATAGTGTATTCTGAAATTTTATTAGAATATTAGGCAGTCTTCTAATACATAAGTATGACAAGTTATGCAAGATAAATAGGATACAAAGAATTTCAAATTTACCTTGACTATGTTCTAATGCTAAGTACATAGTCTCTTCTTTGTAATTTTCAAGTAATTTATAAATTGATTTTTTAACATGCAATTGTATTTGGGAAAAAAAGAAGAAAAACATACTCATCATCTGGGGTTAGCTGCACAGGTTCGCTGGTGAACTGTGTATCAAAGTTATCCAAACCATAATCGTCTGTGATCTGAGGCTGAAATGGAGGGGTTGCTTGCTTCTTTTCCAGCTAAGAAAAAAATATAATGGAAGAAGGGAAAAATTAAAATATTGAATATTTACAAACTCCCCTAAGAACATCAGCATACGTTGGCTCTAGAGTACATGCACAGAAAAGTCAGTATAGTTGAGTTCAATATTGGTGGAAGATATAAACATGTTCAATACAATCTGACAGCAAGTTTTAAACTAGCAGATTTTAACACTAAATGGTACATGCTCATCCTGTTTATCATATTGCTGTATTTCAAATACAAAAACTTCAAAAATTATCACAAATCAATAAAAGTTCATAGAAAAAGCTGTTTCCCAAGTCTCTTGCCCTGTATATTAAGAAAAAACATTGTTGCTATATACATCTGGCTCAACAGTTTTTAAACTGAGAACGTACTCCAGAAGCTTTCCATTCAAGCCAAGATGCTTTGCCAGAATATAACTCACTTTTCCCTTTTATAAGCGCCTCTAAAGCTGCCTCTTGTAAAGGCAGCCTCTTAGATTATGTCAAATCAACGTAACCAGGCTTATTTTTTAATGTTAATACCAGCACAGAACAAAAAAGTAAGCAATATTTACATCCCAATCAATCAGTAGCCACATGGGTAAGCATTCATTAGGAGCAAAGTAGTGCTAATCAACAAAATAGCTAAAGCAGCCCAGAATTTTATTCTGCAATTAAAATTTAACCATGAATACATTTACATACAGTATTTCCTGCTACAGGAACTGGAAACCCGTATTTATCTTCCTCACCAGGGATAGTCAATGAAACATGGGAAATATTTTTTTGACTCAAATAATGCTGTTGTAGTCATTAAGAACCTTTTCTCATTTGCATGTTCAACAGCATCTATAGTTTTCTGATTAAGGCAAATCCCTACTATCCTCCAGAGTTATTAGATCACTTTTATCACAGGTTTGAGTGATACAGGAGCTGATGACAGATTCAATGTTACTATTTATTTAAACCACTACCCATGGCAGTTCCAAAAAGGTGCAAGAAGAACTCCGCCTTTTTAGGCTTATTTTAAAGCCGTCATAGTTCCAGGCCCGGCAGAAAATCACAGATAAGAGTTTTAGCTTGTGGAAGCCTGAGCAACTGACCCAGCTGATATACTGGAAACCAGTATAACAAAACCAGTCAATAATCATGCTTTGAGATTTTGCATTACCAGCTAAGTTCTTAGCAGCTAAATCACTTTTTACCACAAATGACAAGTAACACTACTATGTTTTCTACGTGTTACATCTATCATGTTACTGAGTCTCCCCGTTGAAATATTACAGGATAGGAAGTATCTTAAATTACAATAAACCAATGGAGCTCTTATAGAATTTACTATGAATTTTTCAAATGGATTTATACTTGTCACATTTGTCCTGAAGTTGTTAATTATACACTACTCACTTTTGTGAAAAGAATCCTCTTCATCATGACTTGCAATTTCACACTGCACCCTAATATAAATACTGTCTAACAAGCCAAAGAAAGCTCTCTTCTGCTTCATAAAGAGAAAGAGGAAAAAAAAAATCTCAAGTGCAACATACTACTTCAATTGATGCTTAAACTCACTGGTTGCAAATCAGCATCCATACAGTCTGGGTAACATTCAGACTATTCTTTTACATACTAAGCAGACCATGCAACAGCCAGGTGATAGGAATGGCTCAATTCCTTCACACAAGCAAACAAGCTAGTTCAAAGCACTGTATTTTGGAAAATCAATAACAGGTAAACAATACTGCTTAACATCAAAGACAGGAACTTAAAAACATTGTGAACTGAACCACATTGATAACATGCAATGAGAATAGCTAATTTTTCAAATACTTTTTAGTCTAACTAGAAATTCACAGCACTTCAAAGACATTACATTGCTTAACATCATATGATTTTAGTTACGTTTGTTCTACAAACATCTGTGTGTTTTATGGAAAGATGATTGACCAAATACTGATGTCCATAGTTGTCAATATGCTAAGGTAATGCCTTTTACTAAAAATATGTAATTCAGGGATGGAACGTGACAAAGGTAACAAGGAATGTATTAATGTTAGAGAATTATGTATGAAAAAGCATAACATTTTAGAAAGTGTAAACGGTACCCCTATGCATTTCTAAGGCCTCACTAATTAAAATAGTAAGAAAACCAAAATATCTGTGTGCTGCAGTAAGCAATGACAGAAAAATAGAACTAAAACCAATTAATAGTATCTTTCATTCTATAAACAAGATCCTCACACCTACACATTGATGAAAGGTATGGCACAATGGGCAAATTGGCCATTAAGAAATCTTATTAGCTCAATAAGTAAAGAATCATTATATTCACTAAGCATTAAATAAGAAAATGTCATACACTGAAGTCTAAAATTAGCTCACAAATTGACATTAAAAATTCATAGAACCACAGAATATCTCAAGCTGAAGGGGAACCATAAGGATCATCGAGTCCAAAATTACAAGCAACTGATTAAGTTTTCGTGAATACTCCAGATTTACTCAATATTGCAAGGGCATTTGGTCTGAGAAAACCTGTTTCTTTAAAGAGGATACTGCAATGACTTTGGACGCTCACCTGGATTGGACTGAAATTAGTACTTTAGAAATAAGCAACTCTGAGTTCTGACCTTAGCTTTCCCAAATGCCATGCAATACTGACCACACCACTTCCAGAGTTCTCTCACATCCAACATCCTGTATCTCCTCCACCTCCTCTCCCACAATCACACATCCATCTCTCTGCCTTTTTATTATTTTTTTTTTCCTCCAGGCTACTCAAAAAATACAGGTTGTTGACTACCAACCAATACAAGTGTCCTGATCAGACAGCTGCTTTTGAGAGACAGAACAGATAAAAGCTGAATTCCTCTGTCTTCCCCCACTAGGGAACTAAATCAGTCTCACCTACCAGGATGCTCATTTGCACATAGACCAGAAGATAGTACCTTTGAGATCTACCTGCCTTCAAAATAAGCAAAACTGATGAAACAGCTCAAAACTTATTAGGGTTGTTGGCAAACAAACAGTACAGTGTGGAAGTCCCTCTTCCTTCACTATTATATTAAAAATACTATTGCTGTAACACAAGCATTTGAAGGGAGTTACATTAAACCTTTCAAAGGGAGGCTCTATCTGATTTAATGGAATCAAGACTAGTTTTAACCTACAGAAAAGTCATAGAAGCTTGACCAATTTCCCTTTCACAATCTACAATCTTTCTTTTACAGCTCAATATATAATACTCAGAAAGTATCACTGGAAGTTTAGTTCCCAAATCACATACAACTACATCATATATTCCAAGCAGTAAGACGTACGCATCAATACAGTAAAAGGCAGGAAGATAAATCAAACATTTTCAACTTGCCATTCAAAAGGCTTAATTAAAAGAATTTTAAAATGGCTAAATCCTACAAACCAACTGGCTTATATATTTACTTTCATATCAATGAACTCCCAGATGTAAATATGAAGTCTTAAGAATTTGGAGGATCAGGCAAAATTGCAACACATGGACCTTGGGAGTACTGTGAGAAACATTAAGATTACCTGGAAAATTCACCTTGTCTCCAAAATGTCAATGCTTATTATTTCTTTTTTAAATATTTGATTGAATCTCCTAACTTATCTATTAAAATATTCTGCCATTGAGTCTCATGCTCCAAAATTATTGTAGGACCAGGTTTTGGCACTTCTTGTTAGCCACACAGACTGAGAAAACAGTTTCATTAGAAACCCAACTTCAAAAGGATAACCAGCATGTTAGTTACGGAGGAAGGCATGGCAAGTTATTCAACTGGCAATTAAATATACCACCTCAATGAAGATGCCAGCATATACTGTCTCATAAAATGTGCTTTTTTATCAACTGTAGTTTTACTTTTTTACAATTATTTATAGATGCTAGTAAATTTTGTATATTTTGTGAAAAGAACACAATCCTTGCAGCAACACTTAAAGAGCTGTTATTGAACTTTAAAGAAAGTGAATATTTGGCCTCAGATTGCCAATGTAGCAATTGCTATAACCTTAACTATGTTATATGTGATAACCATGTATTTTTACAATTCTTCTACTTATGGCCACCTAAAACGCCAATTCTGCAAAACGTTTGTTTAATTGGTCTGCTGCATTCATACAAAGCTCCTTTAATCTAAGGAGGCACTGACTACACACACCCATCTTGAACCCGTAAATAGATTCAAGTCATTACTCTGCCCGTAGAAGAAAACAATAAAAAAATTTCTGAGATAATAACACAAAAAAAATTGTGAGGATCCATTTTTTTCAGCATTGGCACATATATTTCTTCACATCCTTTCTGAATAATGATTATAACATGCTTGTCCATATTGCTATTTCAGAATGGAGCTTTCAAGCTATATTCTTTGCTTCCATAGTTGTTTGAAATGGTCTTACAAAACACTAGGGATTTCTTATGTACGATACAGTTAGGCATCTGTTTTTCCCATTTAACATTACTGAATTAAACATTAATTAGAAGAACAAAAGAAAACAGAAGGTAAATAAATCCAGGCTTCCAATATTAAGAGAGTGTGCTTGTCACTATTGTATATTTTTTTTGTTCAGTGGGTCAACTACAGCAGAAATTACAGGACCTTAAACAGGATCAGCATCTTGTTGTGACAGGCTTTGTGAAGAAGAATCTCAGAGCTATATCAGAACAGAGGTACAAAACTTCTCACTTGGATCCCCTTGCAATAGTGAGGGTGTATGCTGGGGCAGAACTGAAGGTAACACAGCAAACAGAAGGAAGGATAGCTGTAAATTCTAGGTAACAGAATCACTCAGAGGCAACTGTGAATGCATTATGTAAGTTATGACAGGTGATGTTCCTATTCCTGCTGGAAAGAATCCTTTGGTCAGATCCTAAAGGGACAAAGATGCCATAGCAAGTTTATTTTTCTCCCCTCCCTCAAAAAAAAAAAAAAAAAATTAAAAAAATCAGCGTGGCTTAAAGATACAAACACAAATCTCAGCCAGAATAC